GTCCACCCACTTCTCGATCGGTCTCCGCTCTTGACCCCATTTCGCGGTCGACTCTCCTCTCGGTCGGTCCTCATGCTCGGCCTCACACACTCCCCATCTTCTTTCTTCTTCCCTTCATTGGAGTAAAACTGCACTTAAGAATGGGGGACTACTGACATCGGTGGGCCCACAGAAGCTTTTGACCCACCACTTAGAGCCTAATTCACGGTTCAAACACTAAAGCCTAACACCATTGAAAACCCAACGTTGCACTAGGAACCAATGGCATCTAAACACTTGTCAAGAGGAGAACCAGTCACGTAAGCAGACAGAGATCCTGCAAAATTATTGCACCACACATCAGCCATTAATGAGGCTCCTACAACATTAAATACGATAACCCCTTCACGTTGGAACGGACAGCCTCACCGTGAACAATGCAAGTTAGAGCATAGACACGACAGGTAGGGGTGTACACGGTCCGGATTGGTTCGGTTCTGAGAAAATCCAAGAACCGAACCAATCCTAACGGTTCTGTGATTTTGAGAACCAGACCAGACCGTTACAGTTGTAAAACCGGACCAGAACCAAACCGAAAAAACGGTTCGGTTTCGGTTTGGTTTACGGTTCCAAAAATTTCTATTTACAAAAATAAATTATTAATATTAGCAAAATAATTACTCAAACTAATTACATTTAACTCATGATAAAAATTAATAATATTAAGGCATTACTTAATATTACATATCTATATCATCCTAATATCATTAAAATTATAAAAAACCAATTAATAAAAATAAAACTTGATATTATATATATATATATATATATGTTTTAAAATTCGGTTCGGTTCGGTTTGAACCGCGGTTTTTTCATAAAATCCATTAACCGAACCGTTTTTACGGTTCTCATATTTCTTAATCCGAAACCGAACCAATTCTTAATAGAACCGAACCAAACCGTATGATTCGGTCTGGTTCGGTCCGGATTACCGGATCGAACGGATTTTTGAACAGCCCTAACGACAGGTCGGAGTGGACAAGGAAATTATGGACAAAGGATATAAGAAGATTTCCAAGACACATCAAAGGTTAAGTTCTCTATTCTTGTTCTCTCTCTACACATCATCAATCTCCTCTCTTCTAACTTGATTGTCGGAGGGCCTGCTGGGGGACTCCCATTTCCCATTGGATATTTTTGCAGGCACACCAGCGAGCTCGGTGACTGGTGAATAACGTAGGAAGCGTGGGTCAACCTAACTCGCCCTCCTTTAGATCAACAACATTATCATTTATGATGTCACTTCACCATAAAATGACCAAAATACCCCTATTTAACTTAGAAAATTTACTTTTTGATCCACCCAACATAGAGGACAGTGCATGTAAGTTCACACCTTGCGTTTTTGCACTTCCCAAATGGTTTTTGGCATTTTTAACTACTAGGACTGTGTTTTGGAAGCTACTGAAAACGTAGATTTTTCTTTGGGTTCCTAAATGGCCACTGCATCCAGCAATACAGGCAAGTAAACTCCATGATTGCAACAACTTAATCCACATTTCTCTTTTTCATTTATGTTACGATCCTCTATGTATATCTCCATCACCCCCTTCATTTTTTTTTCAGTGTCACTACAATTTCTTTCTGGCCTTATCACTTGTCGAAAATTTGGTATTGATTTAGTGAATTTGAGCATTGATTCAATGGAGTCTAGTGTTCATTTGTGTGGATTTGAATGTTGATTAGATGGTTCAAGTGTTTGTTTTGATGGATTTAAGTGTTTAGATGGCGATTTGGGTGTTGATTGGATAGATTTGTGTGTTGATTGAATGGATTTGAGCAATTGTGTTGAGTTGTTTTAGATGGTCAATTGAAGTGTGTTATAGTGATTGGGTAGCCATGGTAGTCGATTCCGATTCTGATATGGAGTTTTGGTTAGCTGTGAATTTTTATATATGATTTCGGGGTTGTGGATGATGGAATGACATGGTAGAAGTTGAAGAGACATTGAGTCAAAGACTATGGTTAGCAACTCTGAAAGTAGTATATATTAATTTAGTTTGGGATGTGAGTTGGCTTTTTTATTTTTTGACTATTTTTGGAGTTAAAAAGTCTCGTTTGAGATAAATTTTTTGAAATTATTATTGTTTACATATATTATTTTTTAGCCTGAAACTAAAAAATATATTTTATTTTTTTATGATTATTTTAACCGCAATCCATCCCAACCCAACTTTCCAAACCAGTGCATTGTCTAGCGGTGGTGGGGGTATAAAGGAGTTGGTGATTGGTGTAGATTAGTGGAGTGGATGAGATGGTTTGGAGGAGTTGACAAGGAAAGGAAGAAATGAAAGAATTTTATTTTTTTTAATAAGTGGCAAACCTTTGCATTTTTTGATATACTTTCAACTTTGTTAGACTTTTCTATTAGTCAACTTACAATCAACTAACAGATGAATTTGTTTTGTCACACAAATTTTTAATGCAAGAAAGGAATGTAATTTCATAAGAATAAAGAAGGGAAAGACTATGGTATATAAGGGTGTATATCCTATGTGTCTTATAATTAAAGAAAAAAATAACATAATTTTATACTTTTTGAGTTATAACTAAAAAAAAATAAATCATAATCAATCAATACATAAGATATAACTAAAGATTTATGAGTAATCAATAAAATAAGATCATAATTAAAGAAGAAAATTAATCATAATTAAAAAAAAAAAAAAACATAACATAGACCTTGCATATGATAGGTGTTTATAATAGAATTTTCATAAAAAAAAAATTAAAAAAAAAAAAAAAAAAAAAAAAATTTGTTCAAAAGTCGCAATAATCGGAATCTCCTACATTAGAAACTTCTTATCTTTACTTGCACTCTATTCCAAACGCTTAATTTGGTACGCCCTATATATTCCTCTTGTGTGCACTATTGAAGTTCGTGGATTTCAAAATATATTTCTCAACTGTGAGTTACCAAGAGCAACTATTTGTGGTCTAATCCTTGGCCTAGAAAAAGGAAAGTTTCTTGCGTACGGTACAATCCAATGGACCATTTCATTTTATTTTTTTTTGGTAAGAATTAGGGCCCCCCAAAAGCCCCCACCCCATCCTACCCAAAGTTGAGTGGAGGTATGTTTCTCTCTCATTACAAAAGCAAACAGGGACAATTTTGTTTTTTTGCATGAAATGAAAACACATTTTTCATGAATCTTTTTTTTTAATGGGTAAATTATGTTTTCATCCAAATAGTTTGGTCTACATTTTACTCTATTTTTTATTATTTTAATTTGAACAATTTTAATTCTTAAGACTTTAAATGTAGTTTTAATTTAATTATTCTGTCTAAATTATCTATTTTTCTATGTATATTCTTAGTGTGACTCAGACATGTTATAAAGTCATGAATTATGACTTACAATTTGAATGGAAGTTCAATTACTAAGGCTCCGTTTGACAAGGAGGTTTAAGGTTATTTTAGTCATAAAAGGCAAAATAGGCTATTTTAGCTACAACAAACAAAACATCACATCCAACCCATAATCATTACACTCTTCTCTTACAAAAAAATTCAAAAAAGCCAAAAAGTCAAAAAACTCTTCCCAAACTAAGCCTTTTAACCCAGGCTAAAATAGCCAAAAAAGTTAAAAAGCCAACCCACTTCCCAAACGGAGGCTAAAAAAGTTAAGTTTGGCACATTCTTCCTTTCAGTAGCGGAGCTAGGATTTCAACTTAGGAGGGAAATATTGAGTTAAGGTCATAGCGATCTACCACAATGCAAATAATTTTGATTTTTAATTGAGGGTAAAACAACTAAAAATAAACATAGTTTTATATTTAAAATTTTAAAGTTATGCTCAAGTTAGTTAGTTTTTTTGCTTTATTTTTGATTGTTTATTTATTATTAATATGATTTGCTATTTTAGTTTTGTGAACATGATGATCATTATAATTTAAAATGCGATCACATACTATTATTAAAAATGAGAATAACAAAATTACACCAAAATACACCCCCCCAAAAAAAAAGAAGAGAGAGAGAGAGAGATATATGAGAGAAAAGAGAGAAATAATATAGAATTTATAAGAAAATATTTTAGCAAAATTAAATATTTAGAGTGACAAATTACAGGAATTTGTATTTTATTTTTAATTAATAAATCATGTTATAAAGAAACTAATGAATTATAATCATAATGAAAATCAATACACCATATAACTAATATAAATAAATATTTTCAAAATAAGAGAGAAAATCATAAATAAATAATATGAAAAATACAATTAATAACCAAATTGAGATATTTGAACCTCTAACCTCATAATGAAAATGCAAGAATTTTGACTAATAGATTAACCCTGTTGGTTTTGCAAAGATTTTGTCAAAAATAAAAATAGTAGATGAGATACAAAAAATTGTGACATACTTTGAATTTTAAAAATTAATTATTTTTCAAATAGGGATAAATGTGCAATTTTCAAAAATTGAGAGGGGCATATGACCCTCCTGGTCCGAACGTGCCTCACCCTTTTGAGTTTTTTTTAAAATTATTATTATTATTATTTTTTATAACAAAAGATAGGATGCTAGTGAATTAGTAAATTAAATTATAATGAAAGATTCGCAGTCGCTCCATCAATTCTAACGTTGTTGTTTCAGGAGACAACTAGTTACATGAACCACTAAACCGAACTACTTGTCTTATTTTTTTCTAATTGTTAAAGTGAAGTTTTTTTTTTTTAAAAGAGAAATTAATTTTTCAAATGAACTATTTTTTTTTTTATTTATAGCAAAATGAGTTTCTTTAGTTAGTTAATAAGTTGCCTTTCTAGTTATAACCAAACAAAGTCTAAGTTAACATAATATTATTCAAATTAAAATAATGAGAATCACATTAAATTTGAATCAAAGTAGGTGGGTAAAAAAGGTAATGTACCTTCTTTTTTTAAAATTTAAATTTCCGTTGATGATTAATTTGAATAATTCTCATCCCTTTAAATCTAGTCGTTAAAAGTAACCAAATATCACGGGTTTCCCCTGAATTTCATTTTCTTGTACTCACACAAATTCAGTGTCCAATTTTCGCGGGAATTCTCTCTCCTACCGATGGTTCTCTTCATTTCTTCCCCCTCCCCATCTTCTCTCTCTCAGCGCCTTCTGTTTTGATGATTCCCCAAATCTCATAAACAATTCTTCAAAATCAAAAACCCAATTTGCTTAACTAATAAGCTTTTTTTTTCTAATCTTTATCTTCGTCACCAAAACACCCACTTTTTCAATTTTTAAGTATTTGTTAGTTGAGGGGTAGGTCGTACTCTGACGATCTTTAGCGGCAATTTCAATTTTTAAAGTCAAAAATGGGTTTGAATGACAAATGGATTCAAACTTTAGGTGGGTTTTTTATGGTCTTGTGAGTCTTGTTGAATTTTTAATTCATGGTGGAGCTGAGAATTTTCTTTTGAAATTGTTTAGAATTCTAGTCTTTTGGATTTTCTGATTGTTTTGTGTCAATGGGTATTGCTTAAATTCCCATTTGAGACCTTTAATGATGGAGTTTAATTGTTGGTTGTTGAGCAGAGTTTGATAGGATTGTATCGAGTTCTGAGACGGGTTTCGCAGATGCTCTGCAAATTGAGGAACAGAGAAGATTCTAGAAAGGCGCAATGAAGAACGTGGTGGTCGGGATCAGAATCGATGGCCATGGCAGAGAGCTCCTCAATTGGGCTCTTGTGAAAGTTGCAGAGCCCGGCGATCATGTAATTGCAGTAAATGTTTGCAGAAATTCAGGTAATGAATTGTTACATTGAATTTTTGTTTTAGAAGTACTTGAACAAAATTTAGTTCCATTTTGGTGATATATATGATTATGAATTGGATTTTTATCATTTTCAGATTCCATTGCAAAAGACAAACCCTTGTTGGATGATTATTTGGAAGCTTATGAAGGCATATGCAATGCAAAAAAGGTTTTTTTTTTTTTTTTCCCCTCCTTACATTTTCTATCTCGGAAAGGAAACAGGTTCTGAAAATGAAGCCAAACAGAGCGAATACTGATTTTGATTTCTGATATTTGAGTTTTCAGGTTGACCTCACTGGTCAGGTCTTGATAGGAAGTTCAATCCGAAAGGGTTTGGTGAAAGAGGCGAAAAACCGTGCTGCGGTGGCTGTGATTGTGGGGATAAGCAGAGAAAACCCTCTCGGGTAAGTAGAGATAGAAGCATGTGTTTTTTAAATTAGTTTTGGGTTGTTTTTGTTTTCTGAGTAGTCAAAACAGAAGTGTTTTCTCAGGAGTTGGGCTTCGGTTGCTAAGTACTGCGCAAAGCGACTACCTCCAACCACCGACGTTCTGGCTATCAATGGTGGGAAGATTGTCTTCAGAAGGTCTCCGGTTGAGCAACTACCAGGTTCACCATCCATTCGGCTGTTCTTTCTTGCTTCTCTTTTTCACATTCAGTTTGTTTTGGCAGAAAATTTATTCTCCAATGATTTAGAAAACGCCTTCTTATATTTAGTTGCAATTTTGAAATTAATGTCAATAATGGTGGTAGTGGTGGTGATAGCATTATGTGGCATTGATAAGTTTTTAATCAAAAAAACGTGTTACACCTTTAAAAGTAAAAAAATATTTTCTATTATACTTTTGTTTTCTGCCATACCAAACATTAAAAAATGCAGAAAATGTTATCTAAAAATCATTTTTGGCCAAGCCAAGCATTAAGATGGTTTTAAATACAGGCTGATACTCCAATACTTTTTATTCATTAATAATCACCGACTTGCTGGTACTGATACGTATTCCGATAGTGTAATTTAAAACCTCCCATGAAAAGCTACCTTACATTACAGAGGAATGTGTGTTTGTGTGTGTATTGACTTTGTGTTTGATGATATAATAGGGCTCAGGGGAGATACAATGCCAAGTTTTTCCCACATACGAAATCCGTCGCTCATCGATAACCAATCTGAATTTGGCGATTCCCAGACATCAGAGGCTGCAAGACACAGCTATGAAGTGATTCAGAGCTCCAAAGATGGATCAAAGGATACTGATAATTTGAGTCCTGTTCAAAAACACAAAAAACATCTTACGACTTCATTTTCATTTCTTTTGGAGGACTTCGCAGAAAAGAGGGCGGGTTGGCCTTTGCTCCGGACATCCACTCCGGTGACTCCACCAGCTGAGGAAGCTAGAAAAATGACAGTGGTGCAGTGGGTAATGAGCTTACCAAACCGATCTCCACCAGAAACTCCTCAATCCACGACTAGTTCTAGCTCAATCGAAACAGAAATTTCTTTCACAAGAAAGAGCCTCAAATCTATAGACAAAAGTGATAAATCAAAGTACAGTGAGCTAATAGAGAATTTGGACAAGCTATTCGAAACAAATTCATCTGACTGCAAATGGTTCAGCTATGATGACATGAAGACTTCTACTTTGCAATTCGCCTCAGGTTATATTTTATCAATTTGCTTTGACATCATTTCAATATTTCCAATTTAAGTGGAAAACGATTTCTAAATTTCTTGTTCGATTGCAGATAAGCTTATCGGTAAAGGAGGGTGTAATCAAGTCTACAAAGGGCTTCTTCCTGATGGGAAGTTAGCAGCCGTAAAGGTTTTAAAGTCATGCAAAGAAGCATGGAAGGATTTCACCCAAGAAGTCGACATAATGACCTCATTGAAGCATAAAAACATTGCGCCTCTTCTTGGCATTTGTGTTGAAGATAATGACCTAATCTCTGTTTATGATTTCTTGTCTAGAGGAAATCTAGAGGAAAACCTACATGGTAAAGCTTCTCTGTGATTCAAAATTTTCTTTACAATGTAAAGTTTCAATAGCAACTATGCTGAATAATTGATCTCTGAGGCAGGTAATAACAAAGAAAAATCTGTATTGTCATGGGAAGTGAGATTCAAAGTAGCTGTCGGGATCGCAGAAGCCCTAAATTACCTGCACAACGAATGTTCTCTGCCAGTCATTCATAGAGATGTCAAGTCTTCAAATATTCTTCTTTCCAATGAGTTCGAACCACAGGTACTTCACCTGACTAATGTAGATGGTAGTTATGACAGTTGAAAATTCATAGTGTTTGCTGATAGTATTTTTTCCTATCAACAGCTATCGGATTTTGGGCTGGCGATATGGGGGCCATCAGTTTCGTCATTTCTGACAGACAACGACGTAGTAGGAACTTTCGGGTATCTTGCTCCCGAGTATTTCATGTATGGCAAAGTCAGTGACAAGATTGATGTCTACTCTTTTGGTGTAGTTCTACTCGAGTTGTTATCAGGGAAGAAACCAATCAGTTCTGAGACTGCCAAGGGCCAAGAAAGCTTGGTCATGTGGGTCAGTGCCTTTTTCTTTAGAATGAAAATTTTACTTCAGAACGAACATTAGCTCTATTTATGTGTCTATTAACATAGTAGTAGTTAATGTTCAGGCAAAACCAATACTAGAGACGGGAGATCTAAGAAGCATACTGGATCCAAATCTTGATGACAATATTGATGACGTTCAAATTAAGAGAATGGTTCTTGCAGCGAGGCTCTGCCTCACAAGATCAGCTCGGATTCGTCCTAAAATGAGCCAGGTATTGAAGTATTAACAGTTCTATATCGGTTCCTTAATTGATCATTCATTTACTATTGAACTGTAAAATTTCACTGTTTCATTTCTTGCTTCTCCGCTTTTTCAGATACTGAAAATCATGAAAGGAGAGAAAGCCGATGATGAATGGGCGAAATCCCAGTTGGGAGATCAAACAGACAAGGAAAACCAGGAAAACGATGATGATGAAGTTTATCCCCATTCGAGCGCAGAGTCCCATTTGGGCCTTGCATTGCTCGATGTGGATGACAGTGATACCTCTACATCATTCGGCAGTGTGGAGCAAAGCAGCAGGATTTCCTTGGATGAGTACTTGAAAGGACGATGGAGTCGATCATCAAGCTCAGATTAGCTTCTCATCACTTTCTTAAAAATCTTCAATTAATTTACAAGACAATTCTGTGGTCAGTTGAGCTTGAAGAATGTGTAGTTTGTGCGTGTACAGTTTAGGAAAAGTTGTCACCCAATTGTGAGGTGGTTTGTAGATGTATAGACATTGTATTCCTATGGCAGTGTTATGAAAGATCTAGTAGCTCCTGGGATATTAAAGAGTTTTAAATATTCTTCATAGGAATAAGAATCACTTTTTTTCTTTCTTTTTTTATTTTTATTTTAATGCTCTGTTTGTTTTGGCATAAAACATACAGCAGATATTTTTTAGAAAATATTTTTTGTAGAAAATGTTTTCCTATGTTTGGTTGGACCTTAAAGCTAATGTGCTAATGATTGTATTAATGGTGGTGGTGTGGGGTTGGAGTGGTGGTGGAGATGCTGAGATTTTATTCCAGAAATTTTTTTTGCCTAAATAAGTTTGTTTTCTGTTGATCACTAAAAAACGTTTTCTGTCATTTTTTGTTGTACCAAAATGCTAGAAAAAAAGGAAAACGTTTTCCACAAAAAGTTTTGCGCCGAAACAAAGTGGTTGTCTTGGCTTGTGCATAAGGGGCTTCTCCCCTGTATTGCTTCAATACATTCTGTTATATCTTCTATAAAATTCTTTATTATCTACCCAAAAACAAAAATGTAGGAATTAACTGCACATTTCATGTCCAAACTGAAAGAAACACCACGGTACAAACAGACTGCAAGAATTGTTCTAAAATGCAGCAATATTTAGCAGCAAAACGATGTTGTATTGCTGCATCCATATTTATCTGAAAACTTCATGTCTAAACTGCAAGTATACTCTACAGTTATTTTTTATTTATCTAATCACTGCATACAAGAAGCATCCAATACCTATAACAACTCTTTTTTCACCCTAAATTAAATCACCCATCAACAATATCTTTAAAAATAAATAAATAAAACTGTTGTTGGAGGAGTGAAGCAATCAACCAAATAACGCTACCGAATTCCTATGCTTTTGTAGCAGGAAAATAATTTTGACAATGCTTCTTTTGACAATAAAAGAACAAACTCAACTAACAAAACTACTAAGCTAGGGAGTAAAGAAACACACACCGTGGTTACAGCAGCCACTGGCAGAGATCAGCAAATTCCTCTTGATGTTCTGGGTAACCATCAGAAGAGTCGTGGATGCTCAGAAATCGTCATTGCTTTCTCAACTGCTTTTCTGAGAACATTTTTTCTTTCTTTTCAAAATCTACTTTAATGTAGTCATTCTTGCGCCCCATATATTCTTTACGCACTTTCTTCTGCTTCCTCTTCTCTTTCTTCCTTTGCAGCGCTGTTCCCTCCCTTTTTCTCTTGAATTTTTCTCAGGTTGTGTTTGGTTCATGAATTTGGAGAGTGATTTAGGAAGGAAAAGCTTCAAAGCATATGAAAGAATCATTATGGTGAGAAAAACAAAGAGACAATAATGAGCCAGTTGTTAGGGAAAATATATGATTTCCCACAAGTAAATCAATCAATACGAATAAAAACTATTGCCGAAAAATTAAATTACCAACGACACAAGAATTTTCCGTGATTCCTTCAATGTGAGGTATGCCCATGGGATCGAAATCCGATTCCACTATCAACCAAAAGAGTTTCCAAACGATTACAAATGAGACACTAATGATCTCACAAAACTACCCTTAAGTGAATTTCAAATAATCACAAATAATCAAGAGGCCCATTGGGAAATGCCTAAACTGATATCCCACAAGGTCACATAATAATACATACTATGATTGTTTGAAATGAAGAGTCGCCACTTGATTTGAAGAACTAAGAAACCAACATACACACGTCCAGTAGGTCTCTACTCTACCTGCTTACCCCTCGAAGCATAAGCCTGATGCACTGACTGAGTCAAAGAGCCTCCCTAATTGGTGCCTTCGAGGCCTGAGCTGACTGCGCAGTCTGGTGGCTCTGTGTCTATCTTGAACCAGATGCACCAAGTTTGCCACCCAACTGAGGGAAAACCTTATCATGTGCCTCGCCTGCCCACATTGATAACAAGGGTATAACTATAAGGTGCATATACAATGCCTGTATTAAAATCATTCATGTTCTACAAGATTATAATGTATTATGCTAGAGTGTTTCTAATGAGTTTTGGCTCACCCTATTTGGAAAAAACCATTTTCAAGTGCTGATGATAGGCCTCCGCCAAGGACTTATCTTGGGAGAATTGTGGAGTTGAAGGCTCAATTTTGTTTATTTTGTATTTACTATTTTAAAAGCCAAGGGTTTTATTTGTATTAAGCTCACCAAATAAACGAACAAAAGTCTTCGAAACAAGATTATAGAAGACCCAAAATCTGAACTCCACCGAATTGATTTTGATCTCAACGGCACTCACACAGTAAACTATGCTTCAAGAACAAAACCCACCAAATTTGATTATCACCCAAGTGCTATCTCACCAACAATCAAATTTGTAGCCGCTGCTACTTCATTGCCACTGTGCAAACAAAAACAATATATATATATATATATATGTTGCTGATTAAAGGACTTTTTTATGAAAACCCTAGCTGCTACTCCCTCCGTCCCAAAATATTAGTCCCTTGTTTCATTTTTCATTGTCCCAAAATATTAGTCAATTTTCAAAACTCAAAGACTGAAATAATATGAATTTCCTATTTTGCCATTCTTTTAAATTCATTAATAACACAAAAAGTACAATTATGACAATTGATATTTTCTAAAAAATGTACTATCAAAGGGTGGTTTTGAAAAATCAATATTTTTAAAATGCAATAATTGTACTACTAAAAAAAGTTAGATTCCCCAAAAAGGACTATTATTTTGGGACAGAGGGAGTATTAAATACCTATTGGGCCTCCAAAAGTTAGATATAATATATTAAAAATATATTATAACCAACACCAAACGAAATTAAATATTTTAATAAACCAATTGGATCCCATACTCCAATAAGGAAGTATACCCAACAATTCTCCCATTACCGACTTAGGTGGACACTCGACACTTTAAATGTTTATCCCTCGACAAAGTCTTAGTTAACATATCCAAAATATTATCATTCATGTGAACCCTTTTCGAGTTGTAACAATTTCGAATCTAACACATCATGAATCCAATGGTATCTCACATCAATGTGTTTCGATCTTGAATGAAAAGTAGAATTTTTACTCAAATGAATAGCACTTTGACTATCACAATAAAGCACATACCTTTCTTGCTTCAAACCCAACTCTTGCAAAAATTTCTTTAACCATAACTCTTCTTTGTAAGCTTTTCTAATGGCAATAAATTTAGCTTCAATAGTTGAGAGAGAAACACATTTTTGTAATTTAGATTGTCATCAAATACCTCGAAGTAGATTTCTAGAATCAACATTATCGGTTATGTCAGAATCTGTGAACTCATCAAGCATCGACTTACCATCCCCAAAACACAAACACACCTTCGAAGTCCTTCGAAGATACCTTAGAATCCATTTTACTACTGCCCAATGTTCTTTACCCGAAATTAGAGAGAAAATGACTCACCACACCAATGGCGCGAGCAATATCCGACCTTGCACAAACCATGGCGTACATCAAAGAACCAACTGCTGAAGCATAAGGAATTTTCTACATCTCTTCCTTGTCTTTCTCAAGTGGACAACTAACCGACTTTGCTTTATCTATGTTGAACATGTAGCTTTCTTGAGACAACCAAATTAACCCATTTTTGCGATCATGAACAATTTTCATACCAAGTATTTGCTTTGTTGACCCCAAATCTTTCATAGAAAAAGACTTACTCAACTCCAATTTCAACCTGTTAATCATAGTGTAATCTTGACCCACAACATGTCATCAACATAAAGCAAAAGAATAATAAATTTACCATCCGAAATTTTTTTCATAAACACACAATGGTCCAAAGTGGTTTTAGAAAAACCATTATTCATCATAAAAGAGTCAATTTTTTTGTACCATTGCCGCGGGGCTTGCTTGAGGCCATACAAACTTTTCTTCAATTTGCAAACAAATTTCTTTTTTCCTTTCTCTACAAAACCTTCCAGTTACTCCATGTAAATTTCTTCTTCAAGGTTATCACATCAAGTTGCTAAAGTTCAAGGTTCATACTTGTGGCCATGCCAAGTACAACCAGAATAGAAGACATCTTCACAATCGGCGAGAAAATCTCATCAAAGTCAATACCTTTATTTTGCCCAAAGCCTTTCACAACAAGACGTGCTTCGTACCTCAGTCTTGCCATCATTCTTCAATTTGAAAACCCACTTATTTTTCAGAATTTTCCTTCCCTTAGGAAATTTCACTAAATCATAAGTGTGATTTTCAAGTAAGGAATTCATTTCCTCTTTCATAGCCTTTTTTCAATCATTTTTCTTTGCATGCTCAATTGCTTCTTGGTAGCTCTCGGGCTCCCCTTGATCAGAAATCAACACAAATTCATTGGGAGGATACTTTCTCGAAGGTTGCCGGTCCCTTGTAGATTTCCTCAACTCAAGTTGTGGTGGCGGTTCTTGAGTTGGATGCTCTTCTTCAATTTCTGGTTCAAGTTCATTAGGATTAGTATCATCCTCTACATCTTCAATAGGTGGCTGCACATCTCCTCTATTTTCATCATCCATCGAAGATGAAGAAGATGGATCCATGTCAATGAGATCACTATTTTTTGGCTCCGGTTGATCACCTTTACCAAAGTCTTCAATTGTTTGGTCTTCAAGAAACACAACATCACGGCTTCGAATGACTTTCTTGTCGACCGAATCCCACAATCTGTAACCAAATTCATCACGCCCATAGCCAAGAAAAATACATTGTCTTGACTTGCTATCAAGTTTGGACCTCTCATCTTTTGGAATGTGAACAAACGCTTGGCAACCAAACACTCTCAAATGCTCATAAGACACATCTTTACCAGTCCAAACTCTTTCTGGAACATCACCATTCAAAGGATAAGAATGAGACAAATTGATCACGTTAACCGCTATCCTTATTGCCTCACCCCAAAAGGATCTTGGCAATTTAGTATGTGAAAGCAGACACCTTGTTCTTTCCACAATGGTGTGGTTCATCCTTTCAGTAACGCCATTTTGTTGAGGAGTCTTCTTAATTGTCTTTTGATGCCGAATACCTTGACTGCGACAATACTCATCAAATGGCCCAATGTATTCACCACCATTGTCTGTTCGGATGCACTTCAATTTATGCCCTGTTTCTCTTTTAACCA